GGCGCAAGGCGCCCTATCTACTCTACAGCCTAAACCTACAACTACAGTAATGAAAGCAACCAGACAACTTGAGCACCAATGCCGACTTCTACCAACACCAACAGCACAACCCAATGTGGCTCTCTCTTGTGAACGGCGCAAGGCGCCCTATCTACTCTACAGCCTAAACCTACAACTACAGTAATGAAAGCAACCAGACAACTTGACTACCAGCGAGTGATGATGTGAACACCAATGCCCACTTCTACCTCCACCAGGTACGTGTCCTCTTCACCGACACTCTCCATTGTTACCCACGGACGTGGCCTTCACCTCCGGTGAACCACCTTCGCCCTCACCTCCCCTGCGCCCTCAGGCAGCCCGGATCAATCAATCAATCAATCAATCAATCAACCAATCAATGACACAGTCTATTGATTGATTGATTGACTGACTGATTGATTGAATGATTAATTGAATGGATTTTTTTTATTTTTTTTTTATGGAGAGAGAGAGAGAGAGAGAGAGCACAGAAACTCACACAGATCAATCAATCAATCAATCAATCAATCAATCAATCAATCATTGAATCAAGCAATCAACCAATCAATCAATCAGGTCATTGATTGAATGATTGATTGATTGATGCAAGGAACATGAATATGGACGAAGCACAAATATCCAAATTGCAAAATGAGAGAGAGAGAGAGAGAGAGAGAGAGAGAGAGAGATCAGTCAATCAATCAATCAATTAATCAATCAATCAATCAATCAATCAAAGAATCAAGCAATCAACCAATCAATCAAACAGTGTATTGATTGACTCAAATCATTGATTGATTGATTGATTGATTGATTGATTGATTGATCGATTGATTGATTCTTTGATAAATGCAAGGAACATGAATATGGACGAAGCACATACATCCATATTGCAAAATGAGACTGAAGTCCAAGTAGTCAAAGCCAGAGCAGATAGCACAATGAAACTGAGCAAGCATCCATTTGACAATGAAACAAAACGGGAACAGGGGTTGACTACAGCATAACCCAATGTAGCTATCTCTTGTCAACGGCGCAGGCGCCCTATCAATCAATCAATCAATCAATACATTCATTAGATTGATGGATTGACTGATTGATTCATTGATTATTAGCTTTTTGTTTTGTTTTGTTTTTGCCTGAAGAGAGAGAGAGAGAGAGAGAGAGAGAGAGATAGAGAGAGAGAGACAGAGAGACAGAGAGAGAGACAGAGAGAGAG